TTTATGATTTCGAGAGAGAGTTGCTAGATTGGATGTTACAATAACATACATGACATTCTGTTTATTGACAATTAATTAATTTTGACGATTTAGTTCTATCGGCATCTATCAGAAGCCGTATTGAACTTGGTCCTGTTTGCGCTTTGATCGAAAACTCTATCGATAGAATTCAATCATATATTACATGGAAAAAAAAAAGATTTGCTAATATATGGACTAACTAAAAATATTAGCTGCAGGAGCAAATTTTCTTGCTTTTATAACAAAATTATTTATGTGAAATATAGTTGTGAAAGCAAGAAAATTTGCTCCTGTAGCTAATATTCTTAGTTGTCCATATATTAGCAAATCTTTTTTTTCGTGTACCTTTAACGAAATGACAAGAAAACACATCGATGATGGTAAGATTATCTTGTATATACTGATTATTAATAGCAGTAGAAAGTTCTTAGCTTTTTAAGTTTTGCATTGATCGGAATAACATTGAAAATAGAAATATTTTCCTGTTTTTTTGCGATTTTGAAGTATAGACATTAATGATTACAAAATACCATGACGGGGTTATAATGAAAAGAAGCAATATAATGTCAAAAGATATTATTGTTCATAATGGCCATAACCACAGAGCATATTTAATATTCTATCCAACTATTTCATCTCCAGAAAATCGTGCTAAAGCCGCCGAAATTATTTGCATATGATGATAATGCTATGAGTCACGTAATGTTTAATTCCACGTGTCACGTCTGAAATATCGTTTTCGAATATCGTTGAGAGACCGTGAACCATGCTCGTGGACGACCTTTGCTGCCACCAGAAAATCACCCGCAACTTATTAACATCGCGAAATTGTTTCATTTCGCCGTAGCGGTTGAGAAATACCAGATTTAAATGAAACCTTGTTATCTTTTCTTTGTTAAAATTATAAGTAATTATTTGTCGCCTGAACATTCCACGAACCCCTATCTCCGACTTAAGTAAATTGAAACTGTCGATTCCATCGAGACAGAGTCTCACACGTTATCATTGATGATTAATGGTATAATTTTAATGGATATGATAACTGCGTACCTGACGCCCAACTATCGTGTTATAGATTATCGTGGATTGAGAGTCGTGCCCGACGGATAAATTACCAGCCAATTCCATGTATACCAAACATTTTTTTAATCCATAATTTTTTCTATAACTGAAAGAAAAAAATTAAAAATTAATAAAGATTAATTAAAATATAAGTTAAAAAGTAATTAATTCGAAGTTAATTTTATTCATGATTTAAAAAATTTTATAATGTAAACCCATAATTTTTCCTATGACTGCAAGGTTGTTTTTTAGTGGCCTTGATTTAATTTTCGACCTCGAAAACAACTATCTGATAAGTTTTTTAAATAATATGAAGATCATATAGTTGTATAAAACCGGTTCGTAAGTTTTTCTAGACTCATTTGTCAATCTCTTATAGACGGATAACATACAAAATCTATATTTATTTGTAGCCATAAACATTATTATGCAAGCGCTTTAACTAGAAACCACTGTTCTCATGCCAAAATGAAATTTTTAATATATTACATTTTCATTAAGTAAACATCAATCTCACAGATTGACGATGAGTTTTTATGTGAAGATGAGTTTTATGAGAAAATCACGTGAATCCAGGAAGATTAAGACACTTTATTTTTAATACTAAACGTTCCTCCTTCAATATTCAATTCATACTCTTAATACTAGTTAATACAATGTATACTCTGCAATCAATGTAATTTCATAGTAATATTTCGGTGATCTCATAGTAATTAGGTAATAAGATAACACGTTGAAGCTTGCGCGTTTTAAACATGTTTTAAATGTTTTTATGTTTTAAATAAATTTTTCTTTTGTTCTTGATTAATACATGTTAAAAACTGCAAAAAAATTGTTTGAATAAAAGAAAAGGAAAAGTAGTGTTTTTTTTCTAATTGAAATATATTTTTCAACAAACCGATTTTTTATTCAAAGTCAATAAGTTTTATATGTTTTGTCGCTTAGATCAGAGCTCGGCAAGCGATACATTTTACGGCTGATTTTGGGCAGGCTCCACTTCGCGTTGTCCTCTTGCTTTATTACCCCACGCGGAGCCAACAAGTCTTTCTCGAACGTTAGGAGCGTCATGTGGAGCCTGTAGAAGGGAGAACAATAAAATGGCTTGAGGATATTTTTTTAAAGGTATAATGTATCTTAACAAATTTTTATTTTTATTGTGAATATTTGTTTTCAATAATTTTCCACATTACCCATGAAGTACTATTGCTGACGCGTTTTTTTTAAGTGGTATCCTCAGTAGACCTAGGCTGCGTTCGCTTTGAACGCATACGCGCTAAAAGCGTTATTCTATCTTTCTTTAACGTATAATGAATAACAAAGTTGAACAACGCTTTCAGCGCATGAGCATCTAAAGCGAACGCAGCCCTAGTCTATCGATAACTGAAAAGACTAATTGATTGAACAAAAGCAGAATAAAGGATAAACAGTGTATAATGTTTTTTATTCTAAGAAATTTCAAAATTCAGATTGAATTTGATTTAGTGTTTTTTTTTTATTCATATTATATGTTTTCATCATTCATTTTTAATAATTTTTTTAGTTATCAGTAGACTAGGTCTACTAGAGATATTACTTAAAAAAAAAAACGCGTCAGCAATAATATCTCATGCGTGACGTAGAAAAATATTGGAAACAAATATTCACTAATAAAATAAAAATGTAATAAGATATATTGTATCTTTAAAAAAATATCCCTACATATCATTTTACTATTCTTCCTTCTACGAATTCTACAGCATGACACGCGAAAACGCACTCCTGACGTTCAAGAGACTTCTTAGGTTTCGCACATAGCGGCAGAGTAAATGGGACAACGCGGGATGAAATATCTTGAAGATCCAGAAAATATATCGCTTGCCGAGCTCTGGCTTACATCATTATTATCTATACTTTTATATGGCAGAGAAAAAATTTCTTTAAAGTTGCTGTGAATTATTCAACGAAAATCCGTAAAGTGGGGATTCTCAGAAGATATAAGAAGATAAGCAGTTTCCTCGTTTGCACTATTCGCTTAAAAGTATAACTATTTAAATGTATCTCTCTCGTAAAGTTTGTTAGCGGGATGTTGAGTTTTGGAATCGTGCATCCTTGCTTTTGCTTTGTTCTTTACCAGTGAATTCGCTTATTTATTATTGCTACGTGTATCTAAGAGGTAAGTCATTGTACTTTTCTCTAGCGTCTGTAGCGTCTACTGCTTCCGGCGCGCACATTAGTCTCGGAAGTTTTAATTAAATAACTCAATGACTATTGCGATTTTCAAAAAGTGGAAAATTTTGAAAAAACATAACTTTTTTTTGTTTTTACTCTCTCTATCCGTTCTTTTTATGTCTGTTACTTCTGAGATACTTTATATAATATATAATGTATAACATATAATTATAATATATTATATATAATTATATATAATATGTATTATATATATATATATATATATATATATATATATATATATATATATAATATGTTGTATATATACAATATGTTTGGGTATGCAATCCGAGCAAAAATTGAATCTAGTGATTGTCTAGTAATAACACAGAAAAGTTGAGTCTTACATCGCTATTAGATAGTAGTATTTGCTAGCTACTAGCTAGGAATGTAATGTTCACTTCTCCTAGTGGCTGTACTAGAAAAATTAGCTAGTAACTAGATACAAAAAAATAACTTGTAACTATCTAGCCTGCACGAAACAGTGAGTAGCAAAAGCGAAAAATTATTTTTCTTCGATAATTTCTCTGTTTCTCTATATTAGGAATACCTAATAATCTTTAGACAGTTTTCTTATCTTAGAATTTCTGTATCAAGAATGTCTAGTAGCTAGATAGTTTTTTTAATTAGAGTTTTTATCTCTCTCTTCAGAAGAGGTGACCCAATGGAGTTTGGTTTCCTGTAATTCTTCTTCATTACGTAGTATAATATTTCCATTCTATTAAAAAAATTCGTTTTATCCTTCGAGACTTGAACCTGAGATTGATGCAGGCAATACGATTTCGAAATTTCGCCCGCTAAAAAGTCCTTTTATTTTCGCCCAGATTTTCAGATTTTTTCAGATTCTAATTCACACGTTACACTCACTTGCATTGATGTTATACTATTCATCAAATTGATAATCACTAGAAAATTTCGACCAGCCGTGTCCGTTTCTAGCTGATCGTTTTTCATGATTGTTGATTCATCCGGCAAGCAGGAATATGTTAAAAGTGACATTTTGATAACTTGACGTTTCATACAATTACGATTGCAGCGCGCACGCTGCACGCACATTATATAAGGAAACTTTCATTAGATTTTCAATTACAGTTCTCGTGCTTAAGATATTTGACTCGGAAGACTAATCGGTCCAAAAATTCCAAATAAGCTACACGGTAGAGATGCCTGATTCTGAATCGATTCGATTCTTTCCCCAAAAATAGGCTTATTCGTGTTGTTTGCATTCTTCGCACTTTTCGTATTTAAAACTAGACAAAAGTATATTAGAATGTTTGGAAGAAGCCAAAGCGAGACAACCAACTCGATTGTTTCTTCTAAGCGTCTGATTAGGCGTCCATCTCTTTTTAAAAGCGAAAAGTATGAAACATGCAAGCAGCACGAACAACCCTTTTTCCCTAAATTTGTTAGAGAAAGAATCGAATCAATTAAGAATTGGGCATCTCTACTACACGGTCACGTTGTTTTGTTTAATACTCGGCGTCGCGGCGCTTGCTTATTAATCGTTATTTCTTTACAGTAGGGATTGTTGGCAAACAGAAAAAAATCTTTGAAAGTAAAATAGACCGTACTTCTGTAGATGCAGACTATCCTAATTGTATGACAATTATCGTGCTTAATACGAATAATATACACGTCTTGCTTTTATTTGCATCTTGATTGAAACTTTATCGATATCAAGAATTCAATCATATACTATCTTCAACGAGATGACGAGAAAACACATCGATGATGGTAAGATTACCTTGCATATATTAATTATTAGTAGTATTAGAAAGTTCTTAGTTTTTTAAGTTTTTTAAGTTTTGCATCGATCGGAACAACATTTCAAATCATAATATTTTCCTATCTTCTTGCGATTTTGAAGTATTGAAATTAATGATTATAAAACGCTATGACGTAGCAAGCAATATAATTTAAAAAAACAGTATTGTTCATGATGGCCGTAACTACAGAACATATTCAATATGTTCATCATTTCATCTCCAGAAAATCTTCGGCTAAAGTCGCCAAAATTATTTATATTCCATATAGTGATAATGTTATAAGACACGCAACGTTTAATACTACTCCTCCACGTGCAACATTTGAAGCTAACAAAGTTTCGTTATCGTAAAGAGACCGTGAACTGTCCATGTGGACAACCTTAGCTGTTAAAAAGTCACTTGCAACTTATTAATATCACGAATATTTTTCAAATCGTACCAGTTGAAAAATACCAGATTTAGAAGGAAGTGCTGTATGAATTAACTGAAGAGCAGAAAGTACGTCAATACGACACTGCACTGTCTTTGTTAATAAGTAAACCATCAGAAATGACCCTCGTCAATTTTGATAGACTTTGGATATATTATAGAGCAGCAAAAAATATTAAAGTCATATTTACTTATATGTGCTTATCTCGATGTTTAGGGGTTGAAACTATTCCTCCAAAATAACTGATTTTTTTATATTTGAAAAATATCTTCTAAACTATGAGATATATGAAAAAATTACAGAAAGGTTTCACGGTATTTGACATTTTTTATAATGTATATGTTCAGATTTAAAACAAAAATAATTAATTTTAATTCACTCATTATAATTTTTGCCAATTTCAAAATTTTGGTAAATATAAAAATTAAAGAGCACTGAAAACCAAAAAACAATGGCCGCTTTTTGCCTATCGAGACAAACGCGAAAACGTTATCATTCCTTATTAATTTTGACCAGCTAAATATAATGGTACTATTAGAATTAGCCCGGAAACACCGGAAACATCTTCCATTTTGAGATTAAAATTGTATTTCTCTATATAATCCTCTATATCGTTATAAATATTGCTAAACCTGTCGATATTGACCCAAGGTCAAACTCATAAGGCTAATAAATAAATCTTTTTACATTTTTCAAGTTTTGTATGTGTGTCTGAAACAATTTTTTATAAAACTTATATTTTTGAGATATTTCGGAGATTTTATATTTTTGTGAACTTATATTTTTGAGATATTTCCCGATCTTTTTCAAACACCCCCTATGCCGCAGCAATGAAACGATCCATTGATCTCAAATCCATTTGCAAAAAATGATCCTTAAGATGTCCCCAAAAATCTCTCAAAGTTTATTGGTTGTATTCGAGAAGACCTTGTATATATCACTCGTTCTTCTGTTATACATATGACTTGAATATGTTCTATATTTCTTGTTTAACTTTATTTAATCGTAAAATCTCATAAGAATCATTTTATAACCTGTAATACATAATGTTCAAGCAGACAGCGACATTCTTCATGCTCTTATTTCACACATGTGCCTTAATTTTAATGCATTACATTTAACGCTTGCAACAATTGCGTCCTAATCTTACTCTTGTTTCTCACAATACGTTAGACAAGGATAGAATGTCGTCATTTAAAACGCTAAATGGAACGCTGTTCTTATGTGTGTTAGGTACAAAGATTGGGCACACCGAAAAAGTGATAATAGTTTAGTACATTATACGCAGTCTTGTGTTTTCATAGAAGTCTGTGGCGCTGCGGCTCGAGCGTTTCTCCCTCTACCATTCAGCGCATGCTTTTCCTTAATCTTTTATAATTAACATCTCGACTATTATAGTGAATATCTTCAAACAGTATAGGATTTTTATGTTTACCTCAATCCGTTCTACGTTCCCATAAAAATTGCAGAGGAAAATCTAAGATACTCTGTATATGAATTGGTCAGATAATTGCTTATATATTATTATATTACAGTTCAACCGGCAACAGTAAAAGAACATTATGATTTAATATTAAAGGAAGAAAGCATAATTAATCATGAACCGCATAATATAACACCCGAGGATCTCCCAGATTGGTACGACGAAAAGTTATATAAAATGTAAGTACTTACACGAGATATAAAAAAACTGGATTTCCATAATTTGTCCTTATTAATTAGCGTGACGTAATTCGTAATGCATATGAGATAAAAAATGGCATATATGTATACGTGTGTTGGAAAAAAATAAGGTAAAAACTAGATTAAATTATATCATAATTAGAGATTAAATTAGATTAGTTTCTATAGATTATATTAAATTAAAATAATAACATTTTCTGCACAAAAACGCTTAGCTACTTGGCTAATATTTCTTCTGAGATTTCACAATTGATGTTACAGCGATAAATCTATTGACATTAATAATTTATTTTACTTCTGTATTGCTTGTGCTTAAGGAGATCAATTGCTTTGAAGGATAAAAAAATTCAAATTTTTTTTAAAGAACTATAAGAAAATAATTTTTGAATGTGATCTGACGTAAATTACCAGAGTTATAAAAATTTAAACGATCCAAGATCCAATCCAAGAAAGTATTTCGAAATTTTACATGATTGTTTGCAAGTTGCCAGAAGTTTTTGTGTTCAGGTGGACGTGCTCTACCTTCACACGTGATATTGCATGTCCTGCATCAGACACTCTGTATATGATATATACAGAGAACGTTAACTTTTCTTAACATTTCCAACAAACCATTTCCAACATTTTCTTAACAGTAACAAGTTACTTTTTACAAAAAGTAACGGTAACAGTTATATATTACTTTTTTTAAGTAACGTTGATGGTTAATACAGATTCGTGCATATTTGATGCATTCACTCAATGGTCATTTTTCATACGATTTTTTAATAGTACAAGTGATACAACGTGATAGACAAAGTTTGTCTAAGTACCGCCAAAACATTTCCATAATGATTTCAAAATTATTGAAGTAGCAACATTCCTGTCGTATCATCTTCAATGAGGGATATGATGCAGTTTTTAAAGTGATGCAGACCATGAAAATCTATATAGGTTCAAAATATAAAACAACTACTAATGTGATGAACCATCAGCGAATTAACTTTGCAGCGCGCTGCAAAAGCAAAAGATAACAATACAACAGACAAGTCAGATCAACCTGATGATTATTTAAAAAAAAATGAATTCTTTTATGGTACAGAAAGTGCTGATTGAAGAAAAATTTATTGTAGATAGAACTATCCTAAGCAAAGAAAATAGAACTATCCTAAGCGAAAACTTTAAACACGTTTTTCTCGAAACATGTTTTCTCATTAATAATGTGCAGAGAAAATAGTTTAATGCAATAGCTTAAATGTTTGAAATTTTAAATGTAAATATTTTCTTCATATGCTAAAGCTAAACAATTTAAACATTTGTGAAAAATAATTATTTTTCTGAACGATTTATTTGGAAAACTAATAATACGAAACAAAACATTTGTTTTATAACAGCAGGATTTTGCCATTTTTTATATTTTCGCGAAGTTTATCGTATGCGCTTAAATGTTATTAATTAAAAATCATTTTGACTTTTGTGTTTTAGACGATCTGTTTGAACTTTTTGTTGTCAGTAATTTAACTAAATCAACGAAAACACATCTGCTGCCGATGCAGACATCTCGATCGCTTGATATACTTTAGCCATATGAAAATTCATGTATATTGTCGAGTTTATAAATAAACTATACGTATATGCAAATAGGAAATTGATATCACTATTTTTACACAAAAAATTCGTAAAAATTCGGTATTTTTGACGTTCTATTGATTTTTTGGCGTCCTATTGATCCAATTAATTATGTAAAAACTCGCTTATTTTCAGATATCAAAGACTTTATGCGAAAAACATAATGTCCTTCGTCATTAATGTCTTAGTAGGAATTGTTGCATTATTTGCAGTTCCATCGATATCAAAGGTATTTAAACTTTTTTAAATTAGAATAATAAATAATTGTATATTTATTTATCTTGATAATATCGTGTGATATTTCGATAATATGATAACATCATAAGATTTCAAAAGATAAATAATTATACAATACATAATACAATACAATACAATAAATAGTTATACAAATAATTTATACAAAAACACGTATATTGATACGTGAAAAGAGAAATGTGAAATAATTATACAATACATAATACAATACAATACAATAAACAATTATACAAATAATTTATACAAAAAACACGCATATTGAGACGTGAAAAGAGAAATGTGAAATATTGCATATTGTATACGCAAAAAAATTTCAGTTGGTGCAACCAAATAGGAACTAATTGAAAATTAGGTGATCAGAATCGATATCTTTGTTATGAAAACTACCAGACTGCACACATATCCAAAACTGAGACATAAGACGTCTTTAAGACGTCTGGACATAAGACGTCTTTAAGTTGTCTTAAAGATGTATTAAAGACATCTTATGTCCCAGTTTTGGACATTATGCTGTCTGGGTTAATATTTCTGTTGTCGCAACCGAAAATATTCGTCTGAACATTCAACGATATTAGAACTCGATTGAGGCAACTGAGAACAATTGACTATATAAAAGTCTCATAAAGGAATTTTTCTGTTCCTATAGCCGAGTTTTCGTCTGATCCCTGAGCAACCGAAAATTCGGTTGCACCAACAAAATTGTTTTTTCCGTATAGTAGTCGCCGATTGAGAAAATTTCATTATTCCTTTTTTTCCTTTTCAACAGGTGCTCTGGTATATAAAAAGAAGTCACACACCACATTTAGCATATAAGAGATATTATCGGACCATATTGTACATACACCACTTGTATTTATCTGATATACATAATTCAAATGATATGTAAGTATCTGTGAAAATTTTTCACGCATTCTGTCGCATGCATTTTCTATATGAAATTTTATTATCAATCAGCGCGCCAATTATATTATTAATCAATTTACCACAGCTTGATCTTTTCAAATTCTTATCGTTAATGTTAACCACACACATAAGCAGTTATTTAATCAACAAAACCGAAAATAGACTTTAATAGTCTGACGCAATAATGATCTTTCGGCTTTTTAGATCATCCCATGAAATTCGAAATACGGATTAATTAAAAAAAAAGTTGTATCATGAAAAAAGTTTTATGAGAATTTTATGAAACTTGTACTATATACACTAGAACCTAGAATTAGTTGCCCATTTCGGTCGATTCTCGGAAACTACGCCTTCTATCTTCCCCTTGTCGC